GATCAAGTAACCACGACTGCCATCAAAGGTGAAATAGAAGGTGTTCTTCGAGATGCTGAACGAACCGAAGTCATTGTACAGGTAGGTGGGAAATAATTCGCTGAAAATTGGGAATAAAAAGGCTGGTTAAGGAAGAAAACGCCAAGGTCGCATATGAGCTCGACAGTGTTCAAATTGACTTCGGCTCAGCACTAGAAGCAGGAGATCTAGACAAAGCAGCTGCATTCTTGGACCACTACAAGGTTGATGATGCGTGAGTATAGAGAAAAGTTAAAAGTATTTCCAAAACCGTCCAAGTACATAGGTTATAAGGATGAAGCATTCAGCCGTTGATCAATCCGTTTTGGGATGCGCACGCATTCTACTTCCATTTGTACATTCGTAGTGGCGTTTGAATGCGATGTGGCCTATACAATGACTTGCGGGGCCAGCCGATGTACAAGTCAGTGTTTTTATCCTCCCAGACAAGTCTGGTACCAATTAACCGACCCCGGAGGGATGGAAGGCTTGGTTGGCCCGGGCGACTCACGACCCAGGATTTGATCCCCAGGATCGCCTATTCCAGGATGTTACTACACCATTTTCGTCCCGTAAACTACAAAGCTTTAGGAAGTGTTGCTTAGAATGAGGGGTGCCCGAACGTTTAGGACCATTCCAAGCCAGGGTTAGCCGAAACGTTGGGCAAATTTCCAAACTCTTTTCCTCTCGAGGTGACCGCCGTACACTCTTTATTTAGGTAGTTTCTTAGTCTTATCTCAAACCGCCATAATTTGAGTCGAGTCCCCTCAACTCACCTCCACTTCGCTTCTCTAATTGATACATCGCAAAATTCCAAGGAAATCTTTCGGAAATCTCCTGGATTATTCCAAAAAAACTAAACGTTTTAAGTCCTAACCCCGCAAAACTCCCACTCCTGAGGATCGAATGTGACCCCATGCCCCAATTTTTAGGAGCTTCCTTTGTGTTAAGACAGTGAGACACTGAGGGATTCTAGGGGAGTGCAAAAGCGATAGAACATGTCGGACGGGAAAACGCAGACATTTTGCGCATGGCCTAGCATCGACACCAGCGGTCAAGTAACAATGCCTTAGCTTTCTTGTTGCGAACGTTTCGTGCCAAGGGAACACATACCCCTGGTGCTTGCACACTGCCTAGATTGCTCACGAGTGACATTGACTCATCTTTCTCATAGAAGGTTCCACGATAAGGTCGGAAGTTTAAGAAGAAGAAACATGCCGAGCCGAAAGGCAGGCGGACCTATAAGGGTGCGCGGTGATGCGCGTTCCGCAGCATGGAGTATCTCAGTGGCCTAGCCACCAACGCCGCTTGCGCCGCGGCACGCCCATCTTCTCGTCGTCTGACTTCGGCCATTGAGCAGAGAAGGCGCTAGCATTGAAAAGGGCAGCACCGATGATAGTAGCACCGATCCGGAAATCGAGGAGCGAAAAGAGTTCCCAATTCCTCGTTTCTCGCAGTTTTTTCTCTATCACTACATCAATGACCACCTCTACCTTGATTTTTGATGGGCTGCCTATCCAACGTAAACTCCGCCTTCAATCGCGTTGTGTCATTAATAAGCTCCACGTCGTCAAATAATGGATTCCACTTTACAGATATTCTATGTGGAACAAAGTTGCTCAAATAGCTTTGGAGCAGAGCAATTTTTTCGTCGCGCAGCGATGTTTCGCGGCACTCAATGACTATCCTCGGGCTAGAGCTGCTTTTGTGAGTTGGGTACAAATCCGAATCCCTTGCATTTTTTCATTTCTGAAAATTTCTAGAGGCTCACTGAGATGGCTGAGGTCACAGCGAAAGAGATTGGTGGTGATGGTACTCAACACTGGAAAGTCCGTGCCAGTGCTGCACAATTAATGCGAAAATTTAAGGAAGCAGAGAAGATTTACTTGGAGAATGTGACTTCTACCCTGATAAAAGCTTACTCTGTAATTAAAGTCCAATTAATTTACTAATTCAGAACGCCATTGAGGAAGCAATCGAGATGTACCAGTTACTACAAAAATGGGATGAAGCGCTGGACATAGCTAAAGCTGTGGTAAGAATTGTCTAAATGGCTTGTCCGCGCGCGTTTGCAACTTGGACCCATCTGTGGATCGATGGCACCGTTTTGCTTTGCTACCCGCGCGTGTACTCAACAGGAGGCCTGTGGCGCGGCGAGAAGGCAGAGACGCAGACGGGTCAGCGGACGAGTCGCAGCGCGTACCTAATGAGGACGTACTATAGTACATTCTATTTAACTTGACGCTGAATCGCTGCAGTACGCGCTGCGACTCGTCCGCTGACCCGTCTGCGTCTCTGCCTTCTCGCCACACGAAGGGCCTCTGTCGGGTATCCCATGCGCACGTATTTGGCTGGTACAATTCTCTAGTGAATACATACAAAGTAATCGCAGTGTTTACTTAGAACTACCCTGGCTTCGACCAACTCAAGGCGAATTACTACCGGACTCTATTCGACACCGGGCAAGATGCAAAAGCAGCTGAGGTGAATCCAGTGCTACTGATTAGGATACGGGCACAAAAAATTAAATGTTCTAGCTGTCGCTGACCGGATTAAAATAATTCCCTAGTGACGGGATCCCAAAAAATGGAAGACCCTGCGCCCAACACATCTTAAAAGTTCTGTCGC